TCTTGGCACTCTTAGGTGAGCAGACTTAGTCAGCCTGTGTTGCCCTAACAGGGACCAACCAGACAAGAGACATAAGATGCCTGCCCTAAGCAAGCTGTATAGTCAGCCACAGACTTTGCTTCCTTTTACTTCCATACCTAGACATATATAGAACCCAGGTATAGCCCCTGTAGCTCTTTAGAGCTAATCTCTTAGGAACCCCACAGTCCAAGGTCATTAGGTTCTAAACACAAAGCTTGAATCATTCCAAACATGCACACAACACACACACAATTGTGCCTGTTGGCTGCCAATCACCACTTACTCTATAAAAACCCCTGTTGATCACTCCATTTGTGAACAAACATCAAGGTATTGATTGACGTATGACTCACTACTCTCTGATTTGCTCATCACCTGTTCAGTTATTTGATCACCAACAATTGTTGGATTGTGTTGCCCTCACACTTACCTGTTTTGCCTGACCACCTGTCAGGACACACTGCCAGATATTGAAAGTATCCTCAAAACAGGAACCCCATAAAATTGAGAAGCAGCAAGGAGAGCACAAAAGCTCAAGTTGTGGTTGACAGTAGGGGCAATATAACAAATCAGCCCAAAATGCCTTTAGTCACAAGAGCAAAATAGTGGAGTCACAAACAGTCTGAGGGGGGTTGAAGTCTAGGTTTGAACACCAATCCAAGAGTCAAGGAGATTTGGGAGAGTTCAATCTAGGTTTGTCACTATCTGACAGTGGAATTCCTGAGAGATCAGCTCTAAGGGGCATAAGGCTCCTAGAGCTGGCATATATACATGTCAGAAAATGGAAGTATAATGGAATCAAAAAGGTAGCTGTGGGACTGTACAGTTTACCATTGTTTAGGGTGGTGCTTTGAAGTAGTCAAGTGGTTTTGCTTCAGGGTCAATGGATTTGGGCTAGACTGAGGCCAAAGTAAGTCTTTTGGTGTTGATTGTATCAAACTCATGCTGAAACTGGGCAAACCCTGACACCACCCCCTCAGAGCCCAGCAACACCAACACCTCACCTCCTGGCAACTGGCAACCCTCCTCCTCTGCCTCCCTCCCCTGGCCTCCCAGCACTTGCTGGGCTGGCAGATGCAGCCTTTGCCCAGCACCCCTGAGCCAGAGGAATCAATGCTGGATGCAGAAAAGGTCCAAGAGGACAGGGATCAGAAGCTGGACCACTCCAGCTTCAGATGCATGCACAGTACTTCTGGGATGACCAGCTGAACCTATGCTTTCACTGGTGTGTCCCAAGCCTCATTGCCAAGCATGATCCCTGTGGAACTCCTGTCTCCTGGCTCTGTATGTCCCCCTCCCTTCACAATAATCCCAGCTTCCAATCTTATTTCTCCCTAAATTGTCACTGGTACAGTGAGTTTGAAGACTGCTGGTACAAAGGTATGTCATGCTGGTAACCCAGCACACCTGGCTCACTCTCCTGACAGAGATGCTAGACCAGCAGTTCAAACATCACTGGCAGTGGATTCCCCTGGCCATCCCCATCCATACACTCCAGTATCCCCCTGGAGAATGCCCCAACTATATCCTGAAATAGGAAGCAATTGAGACTGTGATGCATGTGCATCCACTGGTGCATACTGCTGGGCCTGGTGAGCCAGGCCAGCAGGGAGATACATGGCTGCTGGAGGATGATGACAACCTGGAGATCCAGGATGCAGTGAACAGGGTGCATCCTCCCATACTCATTCTCTTGCCTGTCTTACTGATGACCCCTAGGATTGGGAAAAGGAGACCACCACACTCATCCAGTATTTCTGCATGCCTGCTGGCATTGATCCAACCCAAGAGGTATCCAAAATATGGGGGGGTCCAAATATGTCAGTCCAATAGGAGGTGTGTGAGAACTCACAGGGAAAAGGGCAGGTAGGTTGAATGGAAAATCAGAAAATTGGTAAGTCAGGATCAGCCAGGTACTCAGCTATCAGAAGTTGGTATGCATAAATCAGAAGTTGGTCTTGGAATCAGTCAATCAAGATAAATCAAGTCAAGTCTGCCTGCCAGTATAGGATAATTGGATCCATATACACTTGCAGAAAAGGGGCAGATAAGCTAGGTACAGTGGTTTCTAGAAGCTACTTATACTAGCTACTCAAGGCTGTGTGCAATACTATCCTTGTATCTAGATACATTGCCAGGGCTGGGGTTGGCATGCCAAATAATCAGAGCAGTGGAGCCCATCACAGGGGAGACCAGTTGTTGTCCTGCCAAATTTTTGGATGGGCAGGACTCATTGCAAGGCCCATTCTGCTCATTGCCAGGCTGTTAGGGCAACACAGGCTGACTAAGTCTGCTCACCTAAGAGTGCCAAGAGTCTAAGCAGGCAACAAGGAAGTGGAGTAGACCTGATGACTAAGACCTATCTACAGTATAGGTACCTGTGGATGATCCTAAAAAACCAAGTCTGAAGAGACAGTCCCCAGGCAGAGTAGGCCTTATATTTATACCTCTGTGGTGGAACCTGCTAGAACATCTTGCTTACTCAGCCTAGTCAGGTGATCAGGTCATATGACCAAGGATGAGGT